GGTAACTGCTATACAAATAGTCGGTTTCGAGTGCTTGGAACATCCTCCCTATAGCCCAGATTTAACCCCAGGCGGAGAAAGAGTTTCGACTGTGGTACGACCACGCAGCAGCTTCGGCTGTTGCACGAATGGGCAGGTCCGTCCGTTTAATTACCACGACCTCACTGAAGGCCTGCGCGAAGTCGAAAGTCATACTCCTGCGTTTCATCTGGTGACGGAGGTAAGCGAGAAGATCACTGGTATGTCAATTAACTAAAATATGTAACCAAAGCTTTGACCATATTCATATATTCATCTCACGTTGGTATCTTTAGAAAATCTTAGTAGTGTTTGGACAATCATATTGGTGCAACATATGAAAGAAACTTGATTTCCTGCCCGTTCCCCTAAATTGCTGATACATACGAGTATGCCACATCACATTTCAGCATGTTGCGGAGATGGATTAATGTTACGTGACGGAGCATTTTTATCTAAACAAATGTGCTCAGCATGGGAGATTAATACTTAAAAAGATTTAAATTTTTGGTCTTAATTATATGGCAAGGATGATCGTACATTTTTATATTTTTATTATCTATTGTAAAAAAATAAATAAAGAAAGAATGATCGAGATAAAATGGGGCGGATACATAAAAATGTTGTGCTAAACTCGAAAAATACTCCAAAGATATTCAAAAAAAACTGGCCAAGCTACCATTATCTATAAAAACGGCAACAAAATCCTGTCTGTTGTATGGGAGCCTCACTTAAATGTTTTATTATTCTGTTTTTTAAGTATTTGTTGTTATAGCGGCAACAAAAATACATCATCTGTGAAAATTTCAACTGTCTAACAATTATCACGGTTCATGAGATACAGACAGACAGACGGCGGAGTCTTAGTAATAGGGCCCCGTTTTTCCTTTTGGGTACAGAAACCTAAAAATGATTACGATTATTTTCAATCCCACGCTGTTAAATTACCAATAAATGAAAATACAAGTAGAAGAAGAAAAAGAGTGGAATCACAAAGGTCTCAATTAAAAAACGGCTGTGAACGTTATCTTTACATAATATAAAGCAAAGCCACTCTCAATATTTGAACGCAATTACGAAAACTCAATGGATTTAATAAACAATTCAATGGATTTTAATGCGGTTTGGCAATAGATAGAGAGATTTAAGCGGAAGGTTTATATGCAGTATATATATTAAAATAGAGAAAAGCCGAGAAATTAAATAACTACATTGCACCCATGCGAAATCAGGGCGGGTCGCTAGACTTTTACAGCCGTTTTCGAGAACAATACTATGAGGTCTCACAGTGCGCACGAACGCATACGACCGCTAAATCCAATTCTTAAACGATACTTGAGTGATGACATTGAGGTATCAAAACATCGTTCCTGGTCACATTTTTTGTTAAAAGTTCGCGCATCTTGATCCGTTACGTGCAAATAGACATTAAATATTATCAGAAGCCTCCGTTTTACCCTATGTATGAAAATAATGTTGCAAAAACGTGGGGTCTTAATGAAGCATCCCCGGTTAGCATCGGCCGAGCGTACTGATAACCAGTGGAGTGGTCAGACTCACTGTTTACTAATCGTAAAGAACGTATAAAAGTCAGTTTAGCAATAGGATCGCATGTAGCGTAAAAATAAAACTGGATTCGAATAAGAAATGGGGCACGTGAGGTTGTTAACGCGTAATGAAGGCTTTATACAACGAAAAACGACTTCATACGATGTAAATGCCCGAATATGGGTTTTCGTTTTCAAATTATATTTGTAATACTTACCCAAACGTAGTCCGCTTCCGTCCAAAAGATTGGATTTCTTCCAGAGATTTTCTCTCACGTCCCAAATAAACCTCCAGAAATTACTTTAGTATAGACACAATTCGGTAGTAACTACAACTATACTACATTCTTTATTGCTATAAAACATGTAAATAAAAATATTGTTCTCGTTTGTTCCTAATCGCTAATCGCAATAATTATTAGCCCTGGAAATAACACCGCCATCTGTTGATCGTTGTTAAAAATATACAAGCAACAATTAACCTGTACGTCTAATGCCTTCATTCACCATATATGAATAAGACCAGTTGTTGGTCATTTACTAGTACATGTTACGCCATGTTTAATTGCAGCACGAAATGCACCATATCTCTGCTAGGCCTAGCTTTTAAATGTTCGCTCAGAGAAGGTCTTTTGCAATTTGAAGTTCAAAAAGGAACCTTTCCTATGTTTGTTCCATGGTATGTTTTCATTGAAAATAAAAACAGTCTTATCTTAATAAATAAGTAATATCCGTATTAAACAGGTAAAAGTAGAAAGAGTTTTTAGTGTGGTACGGCCACGCAACTGTGTTCGCTGTTGCACGAATGGGAATGCATAGAAGACCGATCAATTGTCTAATTATCACGGTTAATGAGATACAGCCTGGTGACAGACGAACAGACAGACAGGCCTTAGTAATGAGGTCCCTTTTCACCCTTTGGGTACGGAACCCCGTACAAGACCGGCGTGAAGTAGAAGTGTTAAACTTCTGCGTTTCGTCTGGTGAGTGAGGCAGCCGGGGCCCACTTATTGAAAGGTGGCATCGCATCTAGAACCAACGGGTGTTGCAAATGCCCATTGGCGGCGGCTATCACTTAACATCAGGTGATGAGTTATATATAAGATTTTTTGTTATAGTACTTGTATTTGTTGTTTTGTAAAAATGAAGAGATACTCATATAGGTAACTTTGTTATATAGTAAAGAAAAGTAAAGTAACAGCCTATACATGTCCCACTGCTGGGCAAAGGCCTCCTCTATACAGAGGGTATCAGGGCATAGTCCACCACGCGGCCCCACTGCGGATTGGCGGACTTCACATATTTTCGAAATACATTTTTTTTTGTTATTATTCCGAAAATATGCACGTTTCCTCACGATGTTTTCCTTCACCGCGTGATAATTCAGCACTTAAAGTTAAAAACTTCATTGGTGCCGGCACCGGGGATCGAACTCAGGTTGCTCGAGTATACATTGAATTAAGGCGAGCGCCCGGACACTGAGCTATCACAGCTCTACTTTGTTATATACATAGTTAAATTATAACTGGGCTTTTAAATTTCCAAAGTAAAGAACGACAAACAAGGTGATCGTCCATTTACGGGTAAATGTATCACGGCGGAGCATAGACTACTAGTAATCCATCTTCAACAATGAATCATGATAAATGTGCGGCCGCTCTTCGAATGACTGAGATTGATGTTAGCATTACGCGTTACAATTACGTTTACGTTGGCGTAGCCGAACGCCAATGAGATAACACCGATTTCAATGGTTCTGTTCTTAGGATGGATACGTAAGTAGATCGGATTACCATGTTGGAACCAATTAAGCATTTAAATGTAAATGTAAATGAAGTGGGATGAGTTTTGATCTATTTGTATGCACAGTAAGTACCCTATGACGCACTATTTACTATAACGCTTTTACCAATTATGAAATAACTGTTCTTCTATATGTATATTATTGAAGTTTCAGATTAATTAAATTCATGCACCGTCGTTTTACTCGTGTTGAAGAAGAAGTGTGAGTCGAGCTCGCGCACGAAGGGTTCCGCATATCTCTGTTGTCTGGGAGCCCCTTAAATATTTTTTGTTTTATTTCCTTTTTTTATATTTGTTGTTATAGCGGCAGCAGATGGTTAATGAGATACAGCCTGGTGACAGACGAACAGACAGACAAGCCTTGGTAATAAATCCCTTTACACGCTTTGGGTACGGAACCCAAAAAATCAGTTGTAGTCAAAAACATAACAAAACAATAGCTTTTTTTATAAATATTTTTAAGCAATTCCCATTGAACGAACACAATGAGAAAAGAACAATCTTGGACGCTAGTGAAATACGTGCAGCGGAATACAAAAGCGCTAGTTTTGGATATGCAGAGCAAATTGCTTTCACTTATTATTTCAACGTGGGCCCGAAGTTCATATATTCCGAATTATAGGCGTTGGATTGTTGCGAAATGTCTAATAAATATCCCCGAAATAACCTTTGTTTCTGATGCTTACACGTTATGTTCGCGCGAAGATTAAAGCCCGCGGTTATTTCCACGAAAATGTTCTTAGTAAATCAAGCAGGTATTTCCAAATATGTTTATAAATCTCCTCTCCTATTTACCTTGTTTCTCTTTATTCAACGTCTACGAGTGGCTGTTAAATATTTAATATTTTGTTTTATGAGAATGTTGTTTACTTTACGCCGTAGTCTTTCAAATCTCTTTTAATTATACCTATCTTTGAACACTTACGAATTAACTTCCTTAACCCTGTTGTTATGATCTCTGGCCTTGTTGTGAATATCCATGGGTGGTGGTGACCACCTTCGGATTGACCGTTCGCCCCTTTGCCTCCTTAACCACAAAAGGTCTTCAAACTTGATATGTTTTGGCTTGCTAAGCTAAATTAATTGAACCATCCAGGAATTGCTACACGGTACTCTGGGCCCTTAGTACATATAGATAGCCAGATTTTGTATTACACCAGCGACTCGCCCCGGCTTCGCACGGCTGCAATGTATTATACATATAAACTTTCCTCTTGAATCACACTATCTGGTAACAAAAAACCACATCAAGTAGTTTTAAAAATCTAAGCGGGATGACTTTGTTTTATATTATGTAGTGATAAGAGTTTTGAAATTCAAACCAAAGTTCCTAATTTCAGAAAATAAATTCAGTTGTCTTGTTTATTAAAAGGTAAGGCAAAATCTTATAGTTATACAATTTTTTATATTCCTATCAAATATCGTTCCTCCATTGTTCTGAATGCTACGCCTTCAATTGTCTGAGAAATCACAGCATGAATTTACAACTGACATACAGGCTCTATTTCAGATGTGATTTTCGAGAAATACTGCTTATTATACATTCATGGCCCATCTCAGATTGATTTTTCTGATACTATAGGTATAGAGTAATGTAAAATAAGAACCGTATCGTTAGTTTATTTGTTTTCAGTGGTCAAATCGGACATGTAGGTACCGAATAAATGGTGGTTCCCAGCGGTGGCAGGGCCACGCAGCAGCCTCGGCTGTTGCACGAACGGGCAGCGCCACGGAGTCATCAACTGCAACTGTACTCCTCAAGAACCTCGCGGTGCTGCCATAATTACTCTCCGAAATGCCGCAAACAGGCGCGCTCGGATGCCAGTGCCACATCTCGGAATTTTTCGTTCGACATACATTTCATTCATAAGATGAATTGTAGCTCTGTGCGAATTTTTCGCACTGTATCCTCGGTTAAAATACAACAAATACAACTTCTAACTTGTGACGACAAAAGTGCATGTCGTTTGTTAAAGAATACAAGTTTTTTATTGATTTTATACTTCGAGAGGCTGTCCGTATAGCTCACTGCATCAATGCACCTCTCGGAATTATTTTGAGTTATTATATTGCTTAGGTAATAACTCACCTGTCTTAACGGGACAGTGAGGCATGGACGTGAAAGCTGAAACCAAATTCAAGAACATATCAAAAAAGTTAAAACACGTGTAACGAAATTATTACTGTAAAAGGTTTTATCGCGAAATCAAACTTTCTTCAGTTATATTATTAAACATAAAAATATAACATGTATAAACTTAGTTTCAGGGCGGTTTTCTTTTATAAATGATAATTTTATTAACAAATTTTAATGTTTAGCAACTATTTCATGCATTAAAGTAGGTACATGTGACACATATAAAAATTAAGATAAAATATTATAAAATAACATACATATCCAGAGTTGTTTATGGGTTATAAGCATGGGAGAACATAAAATTACGTGGTGGCAATAAAACATGGGATACTTAAAAACATATAATACTTCTTTATGAGTAAGTAAAGATGAAAGCCATGTTATGCAGGTTTATTATTCTTAAACCTGATTTATGCGACACAATATATAATAAAATCGTCCAAAGAATACGGCGTATAACATATTAAATAACATAATAAAAGTAATACTTGACCCAAATTATTTTATATGAAAGAAATAAAGAAAATTTAAACCTATATTCAAAGAAACAATCCAACTTCTTGTCTACATATAGCGGAATGTGGAAAAGCTATTTTATGAATGTATGAAGTGCGGTACGTTCGCACCTAATATTTTTAATTCATGCATATGAATATATAAGATTTATGGCATATAGACATTTTATTAACTCGCCCATGAGAATAATCGCTAAGCTTTCTTCCTGTGGTACGGCAGCTAGAGCTTGCTTATGTTTTATGTGAAAAGTTGCCAAGCGAGCAGACGGTTCACCTGATGTTAAGTGAATACCGCCGCCCATGGACGTCTACTACACTCGAGGGTTCCAGATGCGTTGACAACTTTTGAAAATTGGGCTCCGGCCACCTCACTCACCAGAGGAACCGCGAAAGTATTAAAGTTCCACTTTACGCCGGTCTTCTGTGAGGTCGTGGTACTTACCCGGACGGGCCTGCCCATTCGTGCAACAGCCGAGACTGCTGCGTGGCCCTATAACAGTAAATCATCACATCTCCTTATACTTGATCGGAGAGTATGCTACGGTACAATGATATAATATACAAATGCAAGGTAGATATGACGCTCTGAAACTGAGGCACTCAAATAACATTAGTGCTTAAAGCATCTGGGCGTGAATCCCGAAGACATGGGTTCGATTTCTACAGCGGCGAAAGACTTTTCTTACTCTTTTCTACAAATTTTAGTGTTTAATCTTAAGGGCAGAGATCGGTACTGTAAAAATCTTAATTTGCTGAACATATTCCTATAAACGAACGAACTAGAATAAACCTGGAGATAGTTGGCGAATCTAAGTTTTACCCGAGGTATTTAAGATTACAACCATTTCGAGTAAAATTATTCCTCTAGTGGCACTTAAACATGATGGTATATGGCTGTTACATTGACTTTAGAGATACGTTAAGCAAATGAAATGAAATGTTTTCATGTGAAATCTAATATATATAATCTCGTGTCACGGTGTTTGTAATTGAACTTCCCCGAAACGGCTCGAGCGATTTTCGTGAAATTTTGTGTGCCAGGGTGGAGAATCGGACAACATCTATTTTCCATCCCCCTAAATGTGAAGGGTGGTTATATGGCAGAACAACGTTTGCCGGGGCAGCTAGTATTAATATAAATAAATAAATATTAAACGGGCAGGCGGTTAACCTGACGTCAAGTGTTAGGCTTGCAGATGCGTTGATACCTCTTAAAAAAGATGGCGAGGGTTGCTTCACTCACCAGACAAAAAGAAAAAGTATAAACCTTAACGCTGATCTTATATAAGGCCGGGTATTTCCCCGTAGCCTGCCCATTCATGTAACAGCAGAACATGTTGGGTGGTCTTACCACTCGTCGGAAATACTTTACAAAATCGATTTTAAGTAAATACCCAATATAAGGTATTGTCAATAACAACTTACGCACTTAGTAAATAGTCACTAATAATATTAGAATTCGTAAAAAAAATCAGTGCTGTGAAAAGTGCATTATACATTATTATATACATTATGATATACATCATTATAAGGGTTATTTCTCAAAACTTTTTAAAATGTACCAAATCAAAAGTACAGAAGGGCAATATCTAATTCATCATTCCATTGATTAGCTGTTAATACGATCTGATGCAATATTATTTTATATAAAAAGTAAATACCACTGTATATATACCACTGCTGGGCAAGGGCCTCCTCATAACAGAGGGTATTAGGGCGTAGACATATTTTCAAAATATTTATTTTTAGAATATATGCTCGTTTCCTCGCGATGTTTTCCTTCATCGCTGAGCATGTGATAACATCAGGTTGCTCGAGTATATTAAATTAAAAGCGAGCGTCCATATAATAAGGCCCCGTATATATATAACGCTCCGTATATATATAGGCTCTAAACAAGTAAAAATATTATTACTTGGGGTAAAGGCCAGCCACTTGTGCCATAATAATAATACGTTTATTTCATTAAATACATGTTTACATTTTGTATGTTTAGTGATCCAAGTCACCCAGTAAGCAAAAAATTCCTGTCATAGTATAGTTTATTGATTGTTTTAAAGAATATGTTTTAATTTTTTACACACACAACACACAGTGTAATTAATTGATGCAAAACACGAACAAATTTCTAGAATAATAAATGAAAACCGAATACAAACTACACAACGGCTATGCGTGTGGGTACCCAACGTTGCGGAAAATCATTGCACATTGTAATTGCATTTCGAATAAATAACGGATACAATACAAATTTTAGCGTTGCTCCCGCGTTGATGAGTTTTAAGTCCATTCGTAATTCGACAATAAGCCTCATATATATTTTTTGTCTAAACAAATGCCTCAATAAGACTTATGTCGACAACATAGATCTCTTTAAGCTTAAGTTGTAGTTCCTCAGTAACGTTCTAAAACGGTAGCAATTCAGTTCGTATTGGGTTTTCTAACGAGAATTACATCGTACGTGTCCTTAACTGCAAATTTTAAGGGTTTAACAGATGTTAATGATCACATAGATGAGGCTTAATGTTATCTAAATTGCTTTGCGCACGCTACCCTAGTGCTTTACATTTCTGTCGTTATTTAAGACAGTAATGTAGAACAGGATTGCCCTAAAAACAAGTAAGACGTAAGAGAGATTCCTTAATGTTAGCATACAAATAGTGTAATTTGTTAATATAGTTTAATTCCTCTAAAATTCAAATGACAAACATAACATTCCTAAGAGGGACCTACAACGGTTAACATTAACGTAAATTTTGAAGCCATGTCTCCTAAGATCATGTCCGTTGGGTAGGGTTTTTTGTTTTTGAACTTCTTTACCAGTACGAAGTTATGTTTACAGTCAATAATTAAAAGAAAAATCCACCTATTCTGAGTTACACACATAAATACTTTACATCACCTCCAAGCGACAAATACACGTTTATTTTTAATGTCCACAGTCTATCTATAGCTTGTACAAGTTATAACGCATGCGGTATGCGGTGTATCTTGTACAAGCGAGGCACGAAATACCAGCATGTCTAAAGAATCAATAGAAAAAGAAACAATGTGATAAAATTCACCACATGGGTACTAAGTACTAAGGCAAAGGATAAAAAACGGGTAAGGTGAACACCATATGAGCTCACTAAAATAGGACAGAATAAATCGCGACGAAAAGCGATTAATCAAAAAAATGGATCCTGTATAACAATCGAATAAGTGTGTCGTAGAATAAATCTATAGAAATCAAAGAGTCAGTCAAATTATTCTCCGAACGCAAATCCTATAGAGGCTTATAGCAGAGCTGTACCGGCAGAGTCTACTACTTTTTTAGACTGTACTGTGTAAAATTACTAAAATGCTTGGATTATTTAAATGCACACTTTCTAAAATTCTCATTGCTTTTTTATTCTATATAAAATAAAAGACAAATTAACAGTACTGTGTAAAATTACTCAAATACCTACTTCTATTACTTAAAAATATACTTTCTAAAATACAATAGAATTACTTTTTCGCTAGGGTTCCGTATCCAAAGGGTAAAACGGGACCCTATTACTTAGACTTCGCTGTCTGTCTGTTTGTCTGTCCATCTGTCACTGGGCTGTATCTCATGAACCGTAATAGTTAGACAGTTGAAATTTTCACAGATAATAGTTATTTCTGTTGCCGTTAAAATAACTAATACTAAAAATCAGGATAAAAATAAATTAAGTGGGGCTCCCATACAACAGACATGATTTTTTTTACTGTTTTAATAGATAATGGTACGGAGCCCTTCGTGCGCGAGTCCAACTCGCACTTGGCCAGTTTTTATCACTACACAGTATAAAACAAAGTCATCCTGCTGTCTGTTTTCCCTATGTATGCTTAGATCTTTAAAACTACGCAACGGATCTTGATGCGGTTTTTTTTGCTAGATAGAGTGATTCAAGAGGAAGGATTATATGTACAAAACATCGCACCCGTGCGAAGCCGGGGCGGGTCGCTAGTACTGTATAAAACAGCAAATTCACAGGTAGTGTGAACTGGTAGGTACATGTGATAAGTCGTACTATATTCTAGTGTCGCTGAAACATGTTACACAATATATTCGCTTGCTAGATACTTTCCGTTGTGGATTGCGTCTGAGTGCCGAAATTTGTTTATAAATGAGATATTCTGGTGAAACGTGATTTGTTCTCTTACGAATCTGT